TCCTACACACTGGTCCTTTGATTCGTCAAAATGACAGACCTTGCGATTTCGCTGTCATTGTTAAAAAATGTATCAGTCAATGTAAGTGTAAGTTCTCTCCTTAGGGTGTAAAGTTGACACTACAGGCTCAGTAACTACTAGTTAGTTTGTAACTAAACCATCTACTTAAATGGGTTGCAGCACATTACTTGGGGCATAACTAGTTTGAATGTAAAGTCATAGCTAAGACAAGTTGGCAATCAGAGATAAAGTTTCTTTACCATGGTTACCATGTGCAACTAGATCAACACTGAACTTTCATATCAATACATTAGGCCTCTACACGATTACTGTGTTGCAAAATGGCTGCAATTAATGAAAAATTGTGTGTGGGGGAAAAACTGCAGTGAGTATAAATCTGTGACATTTTATGATTTACTTTAGGGGTATGTGTAACTATGTAGTACTATACTTAGAGATTAGTTGTGACATATCTCTGTCGTCCGACCACTTTTATTTTAGTAATGCATAAATCACAACTTAGTCATATTAGTATTTTGTTATAACTAGGCTAAGTTTGAACTTCCACACAGCTGCTGCAACAGGCTTCTGAAAATTATGACATGATCGCATAAATCAGATTGATAGAGTGTGTCTTACACTTCACCAAGAGGAATATTATAGGAAACATGCTCAGTGTAAACGCAGCATTGGAGCTGCCCGTCTTTCTCTGTGATGGTTGTTTTTGTTTGTGATATTAACCGTAAGCAGACTGATGCTTTGGTGATATGCAGTGGGTACATGCAGCAACACAAATGTGTCTGTGACTAAACAACACAATGAAGTCAGTGGAGAGGACTGTGACTGTGTGTGTTTTGTAATTAACTTAACTAAATCAGTGAGCATGTGTAGGAACTGGTAGATCAATATATACATCTTGCCTATATCATGTTGTTCAGCCTGCGTGCTGTTTATTGATTTACGTCTGTGGCCATCTCTCTCTCTATGACAGATGAGAATGACAAACTGTAAATCCCTGAAGGTTTTTTTTCCACACATTTCTTTTTCCATTTTCCAGTCAGACCTGCAAATGTGACTGATTCTGTGTATGTGTGTATACATGGAGGTTGTTTATTACTACTGTTAGTGTGTTAACACAGAGGTACACACAGTTGAAACACTGGCAGAAGCCCCTTTAGGACAGGATTAACATTACAGGAGGTGGAGGTGGAGAATGACATTTTCACTGTGCTAATGTAACTCCAGACGACATTTTAACCATCGGGAGATTACAGGATCTGCTCTGTAACAGACTCCATGGACACTGAGTTGAAGGGGAACCAAAGATACTGCGTGAGGAGAATTTCAATCATAAATCTCACTCCTTCTCTGAATCATTACTCAGTCAAATCTGAACACACAGACGTGAAACACATATTGATATCATTGAGTGTGATTTTCATTTTCACCCATGAGTAGCTTTTTTACGGGGTCTTGCTCTCCTGATGGTTTTCATTTCTGTGTCACCATATTGGTTTCCAAATAGTTGCTGTACACAAAAGTCAAATTTCAGACTGATCTCATCATTTTTTATATTTTTATATTAAATAAAAACTCTATATATGGTTTTATAAGTAATTTAAGAAAACTGTTGTTAAAAGTGACCCCGGTGGCCGTTATGTGAACTGCCGTTAGCATCCTGATACTCACACTCAGTATACAGTACGTAGGCCGGGGGCGTTTCTAGAGGGGGGACCTGGGGTGGCCAAAAAACGTGCTGTTTTATTTGCATGTGGTGTAAATGTGATATTTTCGCCTAGTGTATTTGCATATTTCTGCAAACTGAGCTCCATAAACAGTGTTGGAACTGGACAAATTCCAAACGAATAATGGAAATCTGCAACACATACTTGATGCCACCCCTGTATAATTCAATGCTTCACTTATGCAAATATATGGTTTCAAAGGAGGTTTTCAGTAAAAATGTGTTTTGACATGGGGTGTTTTATGCTAATACTAAGCTAATTTATGGAGACATACAGTACAGTAGACAAAAAAGCCTGGAAATGCCCCTGTCGTAGACACAATTGAGCATCATCCTGTTTTCCAGTTGATACTGGCTCGGTCCCTAATTACAATCATTTAGAATAATGTTACTATCCTGCAATGTTTCTATATTTTATCTGGACCATTTACTGCAGCACCAGCCGACAAAGAAACGTGCCAATGGCAAGCTAGCCAGATCAGCCCAGCAAGTCAAGATGAAGCTAGTTGACAGTATTTTGCTAAAACAACAACATCACAATATATTCCACAGGGTTTGCATTAATATTAGCTTTGACTTTGGACTTTGTGTTGTTTGTAGACATTAGCGTAATCCATTTATAAGCTAACATTAGCTTAACTGTTGACACTGTAGGGAAGCATAAAGAGAAGCCACTTGGGAGCACACATAAATGTCACACCGTTTGGATTTTCCCTGAAAATCCCACATCAGTCTACAGGGAACCAAGAAAGCCTGGGAAGGTCAACGCATTTTTAAGTTACGTTACAACCTGTTCACTCATTGGCATTAAAAATTGATTACTATATAAAAATTATACATAAAATATGTCAGAATCTTAAATATGGAGCCTTTAAAATACAAGGATGTCCCTCCGAATGAGATTTAAACTACAGGAGGACCAGTGAGTAATAGTCGGCTGTAATTATTTCTGGGGTGGGGGTGAAAATGACCCCCAAAGGCACTCTGGGCAGGATTAAAATGACTGACCAGATCAGGTGGTGTTAAAATCACCCCCCGTCCGAAAGAGACATAAATCCAGTCCCAATGGGGCTACAGACTTCCTTTCCTTAAAATGCTTTTTTTCAGTGATTTTGCTCAGATGTCTGCATCTCATTTCTTTCTGCACACTGACTTCCTCCCTCCTCCTTCTCCTCCTCTTCCTCCTCTCCTCCTTGTTTTCAGCTCTGGTATCCAGACTCTGCCTCACAATGCCAAAGTCCACTACAACTACGCCAACTTCCTGAAAGACAACGGCCGGCACCACGAGGCCATTCACCACTACACCACGGCCCTCAGGTCAGTTCTCTGACTGCACTAATCCAACACATTCTGAGTCACACAGTACCTTGGTAAAGCTGTTTCCTGTTGCTAATAAAGCTGTTTCATTCATGAGTCTGTTCAAAGTTTCTCTTCAGCATTGAAACCTCATGTCTGATCATTCCCTCATGCTGCCACCACGCGTCTGTTTTTGTGCTGTCATGTACTTCAGTTCATGTGCAAATGCTGCAATAACGCTCCTTGATTCACGTACACCTCTCCATTCTACTCAAAAGTCGATTATTTAACTCACTCTGCAAAAAGAATTAAAAATAAAACATCAAAAGGACCAAAAGTTTGCTAAAAGATGCTCTTAAGATTCCTTATAAAACATAGTGGATGTGTGCCTCAGGGTTCAGGGAGGGCATTCCACAGAGCGTGGGCGGCGCAACGCCCTATCTCCCATGGTCCTGAGTCTGGTTCTGGGTATGTGGAGGAGGTTTGAGTGAGTGGATTGTTTTTAAGTTTGAATGGAAACAGAGCTTTCCTGTATCTTCTGCAATAGTCCAAAGCCCAATGTCAAAAGCCCATTCGGCTTTGTGTCGCATGAGGGTGACTGGATGATGCTATCCGGTTCGTTGGACTACAAAAAGTACGTCTCCCCGCCAGCGCTCTGTTAGGGTTACATACACGCTTTAAATGAGTTTTATGTCAAGAGCTCTGCTCCTGAGGCAGTACAGGGAAGGACTGCTTGCTGCTCTTAAGATCAGTTATTTTAAGGAACAATTCTCCAGGCTACAAAATGTTCTGGGCAAATAAAATGATTCGACTCCCTCTCCTGCTCCAGCAATGAATGATGAATATTTTGACTTCTCAGAGGCAGGTCATAAGCAGAGTCGTGGACTTTTTCATTGCGTAA